AGCCTCGCTCCCGTTTCAGCCAAACCAGTTTTAACTGTTTAAAAGATCCCTCTGGTCAAAGAAGCAACAAAGAATCGAACGACTGAAGTAATTTCGGAAAATTTACCTGTATATCAGCCAGAGGTTTCATTGTTAGAATCGATGTCAAGCATTACGGTTTGGGGCACGTTGATTGATGTCTTGCCTTTTTGTTTTTCGTTGAAATACAACAGGAATGTCTATCCGCATCCAACAGTTTGAAGTGATTCTACGCTTCAAGTAGTGCCAATTTCAGTTTATTATACAAACTGAAGTTCGTCATTTTGAGGCGTTCTCAAGATCATCTCATCGCTCTATTTGACTTACATGCGTCCATACCTAGGTGGTTTTTCCAACCGTTTCGTTTGGTTTATTCTCTATCCTATTCTAAATTAACAAACACACTTTGGTGCTGTGTGTGTGTGGATTGTTTGGCAGTAAAACAGTTCTTTGATATCTTCAACTGTTGAGTATGTACGCACAATGTCACGCAGTGCTACTATGGTCGGTGGTTGTAATAGGGGAGGAAGTAAATGTTTTAGATTTTTTCAAACCTCGGTTCGCAGGGACAAAGTTTGAACTCCATTAGTCCCGCAACCCTTTATTGTTGCAGCTTATCACCGTCACCCGATCCATTTTACTGAGACCGCTTGCAGTAATTATCTCAGGTTTTGTTTCTTCCGAACAGTGTAGAATCAGTGAACCCAATAAACCGAGGTTATGTAAATAAACGGGATGTTGATATCTAAGCCTATTGAATGTGCACTGAAAGGTCGCGATACTGATAGTTCGAACGCAGACAAAGGAATGGAGGGTGTTGTGCAGTTTTAGAGTCACTCGGAAAATGTAAACTGAAAACACGGCGCCTTCGGGTAATCACTTATTTAAAGATACTCATCACGTCCACGTTTATCTAGTTTCGGGCTCATATGCCCGGATAAATGCTAGTATCCCATCAATTTGCAGTGGCTCGTATGCTTCTGTTGGTCGCAGAATCCATTTCTTTCCGGTTAAAATTATTAGGGTGAAAAAATCGGTAGGTTTAATGGCATAGGCAGTGTTAGGCGCAGAAGTTAGGTACCGTCGAACAAAATGTTTCCGGGTATTCTACAATAGATAAGCTGTTGAAAGTGAAAGCCAACCTTGCCGAATCAATCAAACAAACCATGGAACTTCTGTTTGTACTGCGATTTGCTTGTGACATGATCTTGACTCAGACGTATCTGAAATATTTAATATATTTATTACCTTGTGGAATCCGAGTGTACTGCTTCCCGTGGAAACGGTTCTACAACTGCGCTGAACAAATCGATGAACTGTTTAAACTGGATAAAAGCGATTAGAAGGGAATAGTTTTAGAAAATGAATGTTGTTTGGATTTGAGGACTAGATGAAAAGTAAAATCCGGGTCACCCTGACGTGTAAGGAGTTGGAACATTGGCTGCAGGCTGTTGAATAGCGTTCACTGTTTCCGTTTCGCGCCCAAGGTGTAATATCCCTTCAAAGTGTAACGATTATCTACTCCTGAACGACGAAACCTTTGAGCTGGTGAATTGGCTTTCCAGAACTTGCAAGATAATGATCCAAATGTCCATCCATGAGAAATAAAAAGGAAAAGAATTGTTCTCTTCAGGATTCGACATGCAGCACACTGACAGTCATTTAAATTACAGACCCCATGTTCACACCCCTTAGTCTGCGAATGGGGATTCGAAAGACTTCAACAGGTTTCGTGTTTCATTAAAAAAAATCTCGTCACGTATGAGTGGTTTCAAGTTTATGATTGTGCAATATATGTCCTTATTTTTTATCGTTTTGCGATGAAAGTTTGATGATGATTATCTTCCTCTCTCCAGGTCACACTCAAGCACACAACAGACCACAGTTCAAAATTCCAGTCCACTTGCAGACAATCGATTTTGGGACTTGCAAATCGAATATTGGTCTGTCCAGGGAGCTTCTTGTGCGCAAGGGAGCTCCGGATCCAGTGCAACCAAACCTGGTTCGTCCGTGGGTGAGCAGTCGGCTTTTGGGTCTTCATTAACCGGGTCGCCCCACGCAGGTACCATTGAGTCTGCGCAACCACCTAGACGTTGTACAATGAAACCCATATGCCGAGGTTTATTAGTCACATTAGGTTATTCAACGATCGGTGTGAATCGAGGGGGAGATTACGGAAACTTGGGTTCCGAGTGGTCCGTCGGATGTCCTCCGGTATTCCGATCATCGGTGCTAATTGGTTCCCCTGCCGCGACCGGGTCGACCCAACCCCAAAGNAAAGTTTGACGTTGGCTATTTGGACTAAGGAGAAGAAGCAGAAAAGTGAGAGGTTTCATATTTCGTAAAGGTTTCTTAGGGTGGTTTTCTGCAAGGATTATTTTTATCGTTATTATAAATATTATTATAGTTTGTGAAGTACAATACAATATATACAATATATATATATATATATGTATATATGCTCACAAGACGTGTGGTCACCTATGGACGTTGCCATCGTTTGTTGCGTTTATAAGTGCTACGCTGTTTATTCCCGAAGTTTTCAAAAAAATCATTCGGCATTTTTGTAATCATGTTTGTTTCATTTTTCCCAGATTTTCTCCAGTAAATAGTTTTCAGCTCGTAAACCATTCAGTACCCTATGTTCCATCCAACTAGTTAGCTGTGTATGTGAAATGAACCGCTTCTCACTCTTAGAAACGCGCACACGGGACTATACTTGAATTATCCCCTTTCACTCTTCACGTCCAACCTCATCTTCACGCCTCACTCTCCGTCTATCAAGCATTCCTTGATCTGGTGCTCGCGGTGTTGCTGGTGTTGGGATTACGCTAAGTGCCAAGGCTGAGTGCTCGCTTCTATTCCGGATTCCAGTCAGCATCCGACTGTGCACTGTACATATCAGCTGCTCAGTACGGGTCAACAGCCACAGATCATTGGTGCTTATTCGTCATGTCCGTGTTTGCACCAAGCGATTGCAATACATTTCAAATTAAGAGGGAATTTTACTGCTCCAAAGTTCTCGATCTATGTATACCGTAGTAGTCGCTGGAAACTTCATTGCTCAAAATCAGTAAAACGTAGTAGTCCACACACAACAAGCGAAGGACAACTGAGACCGCCTACTTTTACTTTGCGCGAACCACGGATTGTTCCTGTCAAACACTGACTTCTCGCTCTCTCAACAATAGTGGACACGTGCGCACGGGCGAGAGTCTCTATACGCCCGATAAAATACCACCAAACGCCACCGGAAACGATTACTCGCTGTATACTTTAATTGACAATTGCAAACGTTGACGACAATGGATTGCGGTTTTCGCATACCGCCCCGCTGCCTTGCGGGTCAGGCTTTGGCTAGCCAAAGGCTCCGGTTGTGGATTCCTCAAGAGAATTCACCTGCCATGGCCTGAGCAACCTGGCAGTATTCCGCCCACAGCCGAATCATGGAACGTCTTTCTTCTTTCGAAGTGAAGCCCTCTGACCGACCTTCAGTTCAACCTCGGCGAGTGATGTTTACGGAGGTAGGTAATAGATGCATAAAAGCCCAGGGTGATCAGTCTGTCACCTAGCAAAAGAGTATGTAAATCCTGGCCAGGAAACTTGCTGATGTAGGTCGCATAAGGCATCCCGAATGGGGACGTCGGGATTATTGTAGTTTTCTGGTTAGACGCAGTGAATAATACAGTTGTGTCGAAAACAGTAGCGCTCGTGCATCATCCCGATTTCTTTGCTCCCTTACCCTGCCGGAATTCTTCACTTTCTCTCCGGTAGTGCTTTCCAGTTTTCCTTCTATCTGTCCATCGAACCGGGTAACCAAACGACAGCCATCGAAAGTGGCGCACGAAGTTTCATGGTGTATAGTTATTCAAACGGAAACTGCTCAACCGGATTCTCTCCTTCAATGCATCATCTTAACCTCTCTCCCGTTTCACCCCTCGCCCTCAAGATCCGACTAGCTCTCATGAGCCGCTTAGTGTATGTGTAGCTGTGCATGCAAAATAAGTCCCGATTCGCTCCCCATTCTCCCCTATTTCTCTACCTTATCTGATTTGCTGTCATTTTTGCTTTTCTGGCGCATAAAACACGCTGTCTGTTCCTTTCCTCTCGGTCTCTGCTGGCTGCCCTTACGCACACCCATCCGCATCTACACATCTACACATCATCATCATTATTATTCGTAGTTCATGCATTGGCACAAGCTTATTTGGCCCGAATCCAAATTTTGGTCTGTTTTGACTTCATTTTTCTGCTCTGGTTTTGACCCCAATCAGAATTACTCATAAGTCCCCTGTTATTAGGAGCTTATCAAGCGATAGGATAGTAACATTGTGTTCTGTGATATACATCCAATAATTATGGTTTTCTCAATCGCAATGCCGGATAATACAAACCAATTTCCCCATGAATTATCTCCCTTCGCTATCATTTTCGAGTCCCCCCGACTGTGCAGTTTTCTCAGTAGAGAGGTATGTTTATAGCTGCTTCGTAATTTACATCGTTGTCATAGACTGAGACGCATTACATCTTGCAGAACAAAAACTATGACCTACCTGTTTGGCCTTTGATGAGAGATATCGAGTGTCGGGGACGATTGCAATTCGTACAATTTATGTTCTGTTTGGACGCATTTTACGTACAGATGCTATCAAGTTATACCCCTTAACTCATCAACAGTGTTCCCAATGGTTTCATTAAATTCTAAGGTGAATTTTTTTCGAAATTCATTTTTCATTTGTAGAGTTCAATATTTAGTTTCCTCCTGTTCCGTTTTCACGGTATTTTACTGTAAATAATAGAAAATCCCAAAATGAACCGTATAATCTCTTTTTTCCTGCTTTACATAGTTATGCGCATTGGCCGTCGGGGTAAAGAATTCGGCTGCAAATTCGAAATAGTTGAAGGTATCCAACGGCTTTTATGCACTGGCCGTGGCTGCGTCGGAGGTCACGTGAGTAGCGGAAGTGTGGAACGTGGTCGAGAATCAGACGGGCCTACCATCAGCACAGACATGGTCGGTTTAGCTCTAGAAACCGGAATCACCAGCCCGTCCAGCAAGCTTTCCGGAAACATTTCAGCCTTGGGATTGTCTATCGGCAGTGGGGCCGTTGGTAGCTGTGGTGCTGGTGGAGGTACAGGCTCCTCCTCGTCTCCTGCTTCCAGTATGATGCAGGGTATGTTCGTATTCTAATCATCTATCCGTACATAGTCCATTTTCAGTATATGATGATGTCACCTCGGCTGGTGATGAAACGTTCGCAAACAAATTGCCAAGCTCGGCGAACAGGCGAAATGGAACTTTCAGTATATATTTATTTATCTTCGGCTTGCAAGCAAGCTTGGTGCCAAAGTAACACAAGAATAACAGAAAATGGGGGATTGGTATACAAAGCAGTGTAAAAGGGGGCTGAAGTTGGACAACGAGAAGAACGATCTTTTTTGTTTGTTTAACCGTATACGTTTTGATCTTTCTTGTATTAGTTTGTCGTATTTTTATGGACACGGGATTTCAACAAGCAGACCGTACAGCCTACGCACCACTGACTTCTCTTCTGGACCATATCTGTCAGCGTCCCAAACCAACTTCGATCTTCATCTCTTGGGCCCCAACCTGGAAGATGGGCTGCGCCAACCGAAGCCAAAGCTGAAGCTAGCTTATTCATACCTCTACGCCATGTCATGGTCTGACGATGTCATCGACGCGTGAAAATGTAGTTCCATCTCTGAGGACATCTCTCACTTGTATTCTCTCCTGTTCACATAATACGTTGTTTCTCCCTACCACGCATACTTACAATAGCGATACTAAAGTAATGCTGATAAAATCCGTCAGGTTGCGCTTTTTTTCTTACCAGCAATTGTCTCATTCAAAATGTTATGAAACTGATTTCACTGCTGATTATCTTGTTCACAAAGCCTAAATTTGAGGTCAACTAGACAATCAAAGGTTATCAATGTGCACCGATTACGTAATGCGCCAAACAGTGGCGTTCGTTCATTTCAATTCCTTTTCAACCTTGATCCACTGAAGTTCCCCATTCTCTCTTCGATTCTACTTCAGCTTTCCTGTCTTTGTCCCACTGTTTCATCCAATTAGACAGCCTGAAAACTGTAGTTAAAACCGGCGCACGGATCTGCGTGGTTAACTGTACTGAACTGAATGCCTGACTTTATACTGTCGATATTTTGGGTTCACTGTCACGTTCTCCAGTCAGGTACTGGAAAGATACTCCTAAAGACAACTTGGAAAACAAAATATTTAGTCTTTCTTATCGTAGACCCGATTGCTTCCTTCCGGGTTTGGATCTCATTATCCCTATTTTTTTTATTCCCGACCAGATAAGTCATTACATGACGTGTATGCATTGTCATAGCGTAGTCTCATTCCACATACAAAACCGATGGTGGTTCTCATTTGCACTTCTTTTCCTTACTCTCTCGAATTCGTTGCCCTGTGGACAACACGTCCAAACGCGTCATTTACGTCAAATAGGACCTCGGTTTTTCATTTAGCCAAAAGATTACAGTACTCGCAGTAATGAGTTGTGGTTGTTAGGGGTTTTTGTTCACCTTTAAAACGTTTGATGGATCTCCGTCCATGCTAAATTACGTTTGACCTTCATTTTACAAAAATCGTTCATGAGTTATTGCTTTTTTAATTCATCGACCTCTTACTGCGATGCAAAACGATACCTGTGACTGGGAGTGTAGCATACATTTACATAAGGTATCTTGTATAGGGATTTTTTTGTATAATGTTTTGGATTTACAGAATTTTATCGTGTTCTTTGTATGTCTCCTAAAGTTGTTCTGCTTTTATCATATACTTGCATTATTTATTGATATTTTGTCACACGTATCTGTATTGCTGTCCCAAATCACTTCCCTTCGCTAGTTTTTATTGACGGTGTCGAATGGGCTGGACTGAAATTCTTTCAGATTACACCAAGTTGGCGTACCCAAATCAAATCGTTTCCAGTGGGTACAATGGGGGTCGGGCGGGCGGATCAACAACCGTCAACCTTTCCAACTGCTCCCTCATCCGGTGTCACATCTGATGGAATCAGATGAATTCTGGGGATACCGACTTCGTAATCTATTCGGACCTTCATCCGTTCGAATTCGGATAACTCTGAAGTCAGATGAAGCAGACGTTGGATTTCGAGATCGGATATGTCGCATTTATTCCGTCTTCCAGCCCTGATCCGACCATCATCCTTCCGGACATATATTCAGGCATTCAGTCTCGTCCATTCGAGTTCCATATCCCACAAATCCCTTTTTCTCTTTACTTCCATTCACGGTTCGTCAAACGCACCGGTCCTTCCAGTGTACATGACATTGTAAAATTTTCCCGGATATATGCCTGTATGTGCCAGTGCGCTTGGTTTTTCTTTTGCATCCACTCCTGAAATTTTTTCTCCACTTTTGTTTCATGGCTTCCCAACCCGCTTCCTTCTTTGCTTCCTTAACACCCTGCTTTCATCCGGGGTCGGTTGGGGGGGGGGGGGTG